TTGGCGATTAGTTGCTGCTGCTTCGGCCACCATCATTCGGTCAGCTGTTAATCTATCCACTTTTTCCCAATGAATCCAGTGCATTTTGTTGGCTAGTTCTATATTGGCAGGTTAGAGTCTACTGTCAATATGTGCAAGATCTCGGCGGGTTTCATGTATCCGTTCCAGTAAAAGAGCTCCTTCCGCCCGGTTGTAGATATTCTTGGCCTGGTTGGTTCTGAAGTATCTCTTCATCTTCAAGAAGGTTGGAATGATCTTCGTTTCACGGCATCGTAGCAAGAAAGCCAGTGAACACAGGAGCTGCGCCTTCTTCTTACGCAGGTTTTCCAGGTATCCTCCCCGTAGAGGCGTAGGAGAACAAACGGCTGGGCTGCATAAATACGACGGGGGATCCAGCAGTTGAACCAGTCTTAGTCGGAAAGCACGGGAGATCACTTCGCCCACTGCCTCATCGCCTTTGATAATGTCCACCGCAGTTGTGGACGAAACGTCAGGAAGAAATTCCCATAGACCACGGCTTCAAAGCCCGGAAAACATTCCTAAATGTAATAAAGGGGTTGTTTGGGCAGATCCAGCAGGAGAACGCGCAGCCCCAGCACATGGACCTGCACAGTTTCGCCGGCTTAGAGTACAGCAATGGGCAGCAAATCCAATACCAGAACCAGCCGAACAGCTGAGACCCGATCACGGACTTTGGCTGCTTCTAGAAGAGACTTTCCGTTTATGTTGCCGCATTTAGTTTAGGGAGTTTAGAGGGTTTTTGATGCGACCGGAACGATCGATTGTGAGGACACATTCTGGCGTTTGAGTCAGACAGTGTGACGAAGACTCAATCTTTGTCGGACACAATAACTGACTAATCCTGTACAGGGGCAAAACCTGACTATCGATTGTTCTGGTACCGCTCTGACTAGAGAAGTTAGGAAGTTGAGCTGATATTCAAAATTGTGGGCGGAAAAGCTTGAACAATCGAGAATAGCCGTTCAAAAGACCGCTCAATTGTTCGACAAGTTTGCGCTACAAAGCTTTAGGCTGTAACCAAGGACGTAATTACAAATTAGGGCTCCTCACGTTCAAACCATAGGAAATAAAAAATCGACCCCCACGTTTAAGCTTAATTTTTATTAAAGAAATGTTAACGATTGTGGGACGTTTATGTGACTAGTGTTAAGGGGGGCGAGTATTTGACTATTGAATCGCTATTAAATTGTTATCCAGACGAAAAAATTCTGCGTGGTGTATCTCAGCCACACTGGAAGTTCGGAGGCTTAATATCGCATACAACCCCCAGTTTCTTCGTTTGATAATGGATAGGAGAAAGTGCAATAAGCTAATATTTCTATAGGAGTGACGGAGCCAGTGTACAGAACTATTATTTAGCTTTTGGCTCAGAAACCACTTGGGTTGAGTTCACAACATGAAGCTTTTAAGTTGCTACATCGCGTATACTTGAAATGGATCTAAAGCGAAAACAACTGTCTCCAAAAAGCTGATTATTTTTGAACAATAAATACAGAGAATTAAAATTAAATTATGGTGTTTATGCTTGTAGTGCCGGCCGGTCCGCTTTGGCTTCCAGTTTTTCGTTGGTCAAGGCATATCCAGTTCCGCCCTGAAAAGGCATATTTTAACAACCTGAAGCCTATGTGGGATTTCTCCAGCTCTTACCCTCTGCATGATAATTATGTCCTTTTCACTCAGCTTCTTGCTGGTCAATGGATGGAGCATGTCTTTCCTTATCAGCTTTTCCACGCACTCCAAGGTAACGACGTCGCCTCTGGAAACGTCCAAATTACTACTAAGCTGAGCTAAGCAAAACCCGGGAACACTTACGTGGGCCGTAAGACTGCACAAGGCACGGAATTGCTGAGTATATCGTGAGTCACTGCGCACATGTAGCGATTTTCTTTGGCAAATACGGACTTTTTTCCTTCCTCGTTCACTGGCGTGAATTTCACCGGGATTAAGTCCTTGACTTTCAAAGGCTTGCCTGAGACTGGACAGTAGATCGTTGAGTCCTGCAAGCCAGGAATCGTATTAAAGTCCTAAGGTTTTCGGGGGGCGCAACTTACCGGCTTCTCAGCTTTGAGTTGGGCCTTTTGGTGGCTCTGTCCAGGTGTCCAGAAACTAGGCAGCACTTTGTCTTTGCCGTTTGCCATGTTCGATATCGACGATTTGCTCGACTCTAAAACCAGATAAATAACGCATTCGGTCGTCGGGTGAAATAATAAGGGTGTTGATTCACCTGCTTTAAAACCATCTAAGGGTTTGCTGACTATGTTGTTCTCGTTCTTCAGGAATGTGGCCACCCGCTTCTCCATATCGCCGGCTATCTGATTGGCCGCGTCGTCCTGCTCTTTCTTCTTCAGTTTCTCAAACTGTTTCAGTTTTTTGCTGTATTCGGTCTTTTTCGCTATTATGTACTCGAGAATCACCTCCTTGTCGAATAGATAACCGTCCTTCCTGGGTGACATTTAAGGAAAATAAGCTGATTGAATCAAACCGGGCTTTATGGAGCAGTAGGAAAATGATCCTGATTGCTTCAAGAGTTTAGATAGAAAACAACAAAGCATGCAGAGCGAAAAGTGATCGAATTTGCATTTAGTCGAAAAAACACCACTAAGAAACGTTGGTAGTCAATCGAATATACATAAGGGGGGCGTTTTGTTCACTTCGAACGCCTAGAAAAACCCGTCTAATTCAAAGAGCTAATTGAAATATTCCCAACACGACTTACGTGATAACGGGGTTGTGGCAGGGCTGTAGGGAGAGGGAACAGCAGTCGAAATTCTTCACAGAGTCCTTTCCCAGCCTCTGGAAGTTGGTTCCATATCCAGAAGCCTGAGCATCCTTCTTCTTTTCATGGTAAGTGTAAACAGCACCAGCCGTACAGTTTCTCGCATGTCTAGTCATGGTTTGAAGAAAAGTTCACTGGGTATTTCAGTCGAAAATCTAATTTTCCACGCGGATAACACACACGACAGTGGCCAACTTTTGTACATAGATAAAAACAAGTGCTTTTGTCAACTAATCTAATAGGTTAAATTTGTCAACACAAATGGACATGAAGGACTAGCACATGCGCCTGTTATTTAACTTAACGTAACCTCAAACTAACTTGCGCATGTCATTTAAACAACGAGTCAAGTTAGCATATATGCGCTAGTACATGAAGGCTCTCAACGTCACTTCAAGTAAAATTATTGATATTGTACAGGGGGCGTAGCTCAGATGGTAGAGCGCTCGCTTAGCATGCGAGAGGTACCGGGATCGATGCCCGGCGCCTCCAATGTTTTTTTTTAATTCAAAGCGATCCCGGTACGCGGTATAATTCAATATACGCCGCAGATCACAAAATATCGCCCCTGGGGGTATGTTCTGTGCCGTAGATGTCAATTCTTCGATGTTAATGGGTGAGATATAGCGGGCGTTTCGGTTGGAGCTGCTACTTGAGAAGTGGTGGATGTCGATCGCCACCTAGGAAGTAAAATAATTTTACTTACTCTATGACCTGAACTATATATAAAAGTTAGTTTTATATTCAAAGATCGCCACAGTAGTCTGTGCATAACCTCACAAAATATCCCCCCATTCTGTGCATAACCTCAACCGTGGCGGTTCAAAACAAAGTGTGTTATCAAGCATTTTATGTGTACTCCGACGCCCTCCTGCAGCTGAAACAATGCCTCAATTTTTGAGGAGTGCACTTACCAAAGGCAGTCAGTTAGAGGCAAGGTTTTGTAGGAGAAATTTCCATATTCGCAGCCAATTAAGTTGCAAGGACGATTCGAAGAAGGGAAATGAGACTGAAAGCCCGCTAAAGCGGCTCTTGGACGACTCTGCCTCCTTTGAGGACACCAAACCCTCAAACCCCCAACAGAGATGGACCACTATGCCGTATCCGCAAGGTACTCGATCATACGTCGGTTAAATCCCATTTTCATGGCGTAGCTTCAGGTACGAACACCCGAAGGCAAGGGGACAGCTTTCACAAGGCAAAAAAAGACCCAAAAGACTGCAGCATTATCCTGTTCCCAGGCCAGGGCAGCCAATACGTGGGAATGGCCAAAGATCTGCAAAAGTTCCCGATGGCCAGAGACCTGTTTGAGCTGGCCAGCTACATATTGAAGTACGACTTGCTGAAACTGTGCCTCGAGGGCCCCAAAAAGGAGCTGGACCAAACCAGGTAGCATCCATAGCAGCAACCTAAAGTCTAAACTGACCCCAAAGGATTTAGGTATTCCCAACCGGCCATCCTGGTGACGTCTTTGGCCGCCATCGAGAGGCTGAAAGAAGAAAGGCCCAACGCCATCAAGAACTGTGTAGCAACTGCAGGCTTCAGCCTCGGTGAAATCACCGCCTTGATTTTTGCTGGGGCTTTAGGATTTGAAAAAGGTATGGGCGTTTTTAGCGGCTTTTTGGAACGCCAAGCCTCATTTTACTGCCTATTAGGATTGCAGCTGGTTCAGATCCGAGCTGAAGCGATGCAACTGGCCAGTGAAACTCACCAAGGAGGCATGTTGACGGTGTTCTACGGCCCGGATAGCAAGCTGAGCTTTGCCTGCAAGCAGGCAAAACAGTGGGCAGTGGACAAAGGGGACAACGTGCCCGAGTGCAAAATATCCACCTACTTGTCGCCCAATTGTAAAGTCGTTGCTGGAAGTGAGTCAGTAAGAGCATTTTTTCTTACTCCCTAGCCTTGGCAAGGCCTCATGTTGCACTTGTTGCCTCCACAGGCCATCGAGTACCTTGAAGCAAACTACCAAGAATACAGGCTAAGGAAAGTGCATAGACTACCGGTCAGTGGGGGCTTCCACTCGGAGCTGATGGCATCCGCCGTGGAGCCTTTCAGGCGCGCCCTCAACAAAGCGGAGCTACAAGAGCCGATAGTTAGTGTCTATTCCAATCTCGATGGCAAACGCTACCGCAATGTGGAGCACATCAAAAAGCAACTGCCTAAACAAGTAAGTTCATATAATAAAAAAGTAAAATAAACAATTGTGGAAATTTGCGTCAGATTACCCGGCCAGTCAAATGGGAGCAACTGTTGCATGTGGTCTACGAAAGGAACCCCGATGAGGATTTTCCCAATACTTTCGAATGCGGCCCAGGCCAATCTTTAAAGGCCATCCTCAAGCAGGTGAACCTCAAGGCCTGGACTAAATGTTATAGCATAGAAGCCTAAAGTGTAGATGAGTGAAAGTTTTCTTTATTAAATGTGTGATTTCTCCTTGGCTTTTAACATCCGCAGTCCAGCCCTTCTTAGTCTGACCAGATCCAACATTGCTCTTGGTTTGCCGAGTTCCCTCGTCGAATTCCTGCGCGGTTTGCCTGGGGAGATGATTAAGAACAGGAAGTTTTGTCTGGACGTTTATCTTTATTAATCTCAAATATACACAGTTTTTACAAACGAGGCAAATTATCTTGACTGGCCAGCGCGTTTACACCAACAGGGTGTTTGAGTCAAGAATAGACAAGTATCGTCGTTTAAAGATCGAAACCAATCTGAGCATTTCCAACAAAGTTCTATATTTTGGCACATAAAAATTGCACTAAAGTGTTCACACATCACAGTTCCGTAACTGCTTCATGCTCATTGTCGTAACGCCTGTGGCAAACATGCCCTATATCGCCGTCTATGATATAGGGGCCCTTATTCCGGAACGTTCCATATCCCTCGGAGTTCTCGTCGTTTGCAATCTCCCCCGATTTCGGGCTGGCGTAGACTGGAAAGCTGCTCCTAAAGGGCGTTTCTCCTTTTGGGGCGTCCGCCCCCGAGAACGTGTTTCTTTGGTTTGGGTGGTGATGGTGGTGGTGGTGGTGCTTGGGGGGAACATCCACCTCCAAAGAATCCAACATCGAAGCATCTGCAAATCAAACTCTTAGAGGTTCGAGCTTGAAGCAGTCGTCGAGTCAAACCTTGCTCGGAAGACGCAACGGTCTGGATGGGGTGATTGACATCACCCCATCCAGACCCAGTTCCGTTGTTGTTGTTCTTTATATAAGCCCCCTGGAGCCCCAGAACGCTCAACTCGCCAGCCTCTCGTTTGGCTTTTTTCCTGATGGTTTTCGTGTACTCTTTAGTGCCCCGCCTTTTCAAAGTAAAGTCGCGCTCCCCGCTTCGGGATTTGCTGTTCCACTGCACCCAGTTGTAGCGCAGCATCGGGTCCTTTGGCCCCCAGTTATGTGAAGGTTCTAGCGAAGTCTTCAGCCTCTATAAAACCCTTTGAGTCAAAGTCAAGGTTTGGGGCGAAAGAAAAACTTACATCGCTGCTGGTGTATCCGTCCTGGTTCCTCATCACAAAGAGCCCCATGACGAAGATGAAAACAAAGGCTGTGAGAACGACTCCGCCTCCTACGGCGTAGAGCCAAACGGGGTCGTTTGCGCTCCCTTCAAGGGGCATGGTGGCGAGTCCCCAGACAAACACGCCGATTAGGAGAAAGGGGATGAACCACCAGAGAATAAGCCAGATTTTGGACAGGATGTGGCCCAGCATGAACTCGAAGTCCGATTGAATTCGCGTGGTTCCTGTGAAAAGTTGCTGATGACTTCTTAGTCAGGGTCAGGGAGGTGGAAAGGTTCGTACCGTAGAAGGCGATGATGGCCAAAACCTCTATAACCACACTGATCAAAATCAAGTTGCCCACTATGTAGTGGTCCAGCAGATGAACCAAGTCGAAGTCCTGCCTCAGCAGCAGCAAGCAGCTGAGTACAAAGCCGCAGAAGCTGAAGACGACGCTGGTCTGCCACCATTTGAGCCTGATGCCATCGTGCCCGTAGATGGCTTTCAGCAGCGTATAGGAAAGGGTTGCCTACAGTGTTGGGCAAAAATTGATTTTTATTAAAAAAATAAAAAAGCACTAATTTATTTAAATTAATCAAAAAAATCATGATTTTTTCGATTTTTATTAAATCAATTGATAAATCCGCTTAATTAGCTGTTTTAAAGTGATTGCAATTGTTGCCGAGAAGATTCAAGCTAAGTTGAATCGATTC